AACTACCTTTCTTTTGATGAGTTCTGTGGAAGTCTACACTTTACTGTACTGCCTTAGGGTTTGAATCCAGAGGAGACTTGTGAAATGTGCTGGTACAGCTATTGCCACATGATTTGGAAAGGGACCCTGTCATTGTTGAGAACTAGAATATGCTGCTGACAGTTACTTACTTACGTTTTCCAATCTGATAAGCTAAAAATGTCTTACTTCAATATGGTAAGAAACGTAACCAGCTGGTGTGCAAAAAAAGGTCTTAAAATGAAATATACAAGGTAGAAAAGAAAGGAAGGGTATGCATGGAATTATGGAAATGGCTTATTCTCTATTGAAATAAGAATATGTAGCACACATCCAGCTCAGCTCAGATATCCTTACACTATACTTTTAATATTTACAAAGGTTACTATTCTAATTCTGAATGCAGGGAAGTGGGGTTTTTTCCATTCCCATTTTTCATTCTCATGAATGAGCAACAGTTGACTTTTTGCATTTTCTACCCCATGTTCCAGCTGAGTAAATTTTGGGACAATAATGTCAGCATGTCCCTAGAGGAAAGAGTGTAAAATTTTAAAGGAAGAAAGGATTACAGTGATCTCTGTGTGGGAAAGTGGCTAAGGATAAGTAATACAACAGCTCCAAAGGGAATTGTGCAAGAAACTGGAAAGAGCATTTTTGAAAATATTTGAATACTGGGGAATTTCCAAAGTAAAGCAGCAGTGAAAGATGAGCAGGGAAAAAGAAAAGGACAGAAAACAAGCTCTAGAACACTGATTTTCTCTTTCCCTGCATGCTGCTCCTCCAGTTTCTAGGGAGGAAAGCACTTTTTTGTATTCTTGCACAAGGAAAGGGTTACCTCACACGAGTTCCCAGGGCCATTCAGAAGGAAGGAAAGTCATTATGAAGCAATGCTGTTATCCCTGGAACCAAGACAGAACCAGGAACCTATGTCTGTAGTTTCACAATAAGGAGTAATCTTCATTTTTTGCACCAGGAAATGGCAAGTGTTGTTCATGGTGCTGCTTTTCAGCCTTCTGTCAGCCTCTCCATTGCTTTGCTTATGAAGTACCTGAAGATCATAAGGGCATTCAAGAACCTGCTCTTCCCCCCTTCCCTAGCAGAGAAATTCAGCTTGCCCTGGTTTTTTGTGTGTGCTGTCTCTGAGATCCTTATTGACTTGCAGCACTCACACATCTGGCTTGTACTTCCAGGACTTGTCCTTCCCCAAGAGCTGGAAGTGCAGCAGGGAGAGGGCAGAGATGCAGAGTTCTTGGGCCATGTTTAAGCTGGGACTCATGACAGGGGAGTGTAAGGCAAGTGTGAGTCTCTCCAGCAGCTTGTGGCTTCCAGAGGCACATCCTGGTCCCTTTCTACCCTTCCTGCACCAGTTGCTCATGTTCTCCCTCACTCTCCCTTTCAGCTCCAGCTCTGAGGCTGGTGGATCTCACTGGAATCCAGTGAGATGGTAGGAAACTGCAGAACTGCAGCAGGGATGCTGTGTGTATGCTTTCATTCTCAGCAGCTGCAGGGATAGGCAGACACGGGGCCTGCTGTCTCCACATGGTCTCTTTGGCTCTGTTTGTTCTCTGATTGACCAGTCCTGCTCATTTTGGAGAGGAGATGAAATCCAGATGCTGGTCTTGACTCCTGACTCAAAGACTGCAATATGATTAAACACTTTGGAAAGGCTCGCTGTTCTCAGCAGTACAGCTCTGTCATTTACCTGGTAATCCCAGAAAAGCCACAGTTCTCATTTAGGGGATTTTTAGAAAATATTTCCCATGCTTGCTCCTCTTTCTGAGAGGATGAGGTTGTTTTCAGATGACGTCTTAAAACAAAACTCCCTGTTGTTTCTATATACCCTAAACTAACACAATAAACTTAAAAAAAAAAAAAAAAGGGCAAAAAGAAAAGGTTATAGCAGCTGCTATTTTAGTCAATACAGAGTTCAGACAGAGTTTACTGTTGGTGTCTTTGAATGCAAACAAAGCTCCCTTTTGTTTTCCACTGCCAATACTTTCAGCTGTTACAGTGATTGTACTAATGAGGTTCAGTCTTTAAAAAAACTGCTGGATTTGGTCCAGAAGGGCCCTCAAGAGTTAAAGACTGGATCAGAAAGTTTCACTGTTAATCTAACCTTGAGCATGGCTCCACTGTTACAGGAAGAATGAAATGCTGATGCTTGCAGTAAACTGTGTCTGGATATCCTCATCGAATCAAGTTAATGGAGAAGAGTTTCCCTTGGGCAGTGGTTTGTGCCATGTGTCCCACTAAGTAGAGCTGTGCAAAAGTTGACTTTCAATATGTCACTGTCACTGTAGAACACAGGATGTTCAGGTTTGGGTTCCACAGAGCATTTCTCTCAGGTATTGCTTTGTAACCAGCAGAAAAGGAAGAAGCAGATCTGCCTTTAATCTGGAAAAATTCAACAAAGATATAGGACCCCCTGAATTCTGCTGGGTCCCTTTTTGCTTTCAGTGATGTGAGTAGTGGTTCCTGTGACTGTCCTGTTCAAGTGCTTTCCCTTTGTTCATATTTACAGCCCACAAAGAGACATCCTTTAAGTAGGAAACTGAAAGTTAGTGTGGCTGAGGAAAATAGTGCCAGAGTAGTGCTGGACTGCAGGTACTTGTCCTCCTCAAGGTGTAGGTTTGTCCTCTCCCAGTCATCTATCACTATCCTGCTGCAGCACTCCCAGTATATGGACTGCTCATAGTCACCCTCCAGCCCTTCTGGGGTTTGTAGGAGGAATGTATTTAACCATTAAAACAACAACCATCAGTGTGTTTTCAAGATTGGAGATGAAGTACTGCCAAGTTTCTCAGCTAGAACTGGAGAGGGTTTTCCTGGCATCCTTTGAAATTAAAAGGAAAACCAAAAAGCCTTCGTTCAGAACTTAAATGTTAATCTCAGCGAAACAGAAGTCCATGAGTAATTTTAGAGCATATTTCCCTTTTCTGATTTCAACAACAAAAGAATCAGGGTTTGGTTTTCCTGAATCAGGGAAAAGTTAATTTCATCCTGAATTCTGAGAAATAACAGAGGGAAGAGAGATGTTGAGATCTTGAATACCAGAACTTCCTGATTCCAAGTATCTGTTTTTCCAGATGTCTGAAAATTTGGGTTTTGTGGGAGAAGACCAATGGCCCTCAATAAAGAAAACTTGTTTGTGTGCAAAGGAAAACACTGTGCAAAGGTTAGCGTGTATCAGTTTCTGAAAAACTGTACTGAGGCAAATGCCCACTATTTTTGTTTTTGATTACTATAGAGACAACTGTGTGTTGTTTATCCCAACTATATGTTGTGTATTCCTGGGTTATAATAAACATGACTGGAGGGTGAGACAAATGACATGTGAAATACATCCAATTTGGCTTTTGGTTGCATGCTCTTGGAAACCTTGCTAGACTCTTTTCCAGTGGTTTAATTTAGAGTTGGGAAATGTAAAATGCACTTCTTATTTATGACAATAAGAGCTTGGTGACTGAAGGCAATGCTCTGCAAACAAACACCAGCAGAACGAGGCATCCTCTTGGGTATGTTGCAATGTAACTTGGATAGGGTAGAGACAAAGGCAAATGTAGATATTTAGGACACTGGCTGGAGAAGGCAAACTGTGCTCCCGGAAAATGATGACAAGTGTGAAAGTTTTGAGGAAAAAAACCAAAACAAACAAATAGAGGTCAAAGTACTGAGTCCCAGCGTGTGAACTGCTAAGCAGCCTCTCACCTGGGAGGGTCAGTGCAGACTTTGTATTATCATACGGTCAAAGTTGAGTGTTGCACCAACTGAGAGACTGGAAGGGTTACACATCAAAGGAGACAAGGAGGCTCAGTCTTCATTTCTGTTTCGAAAACACAAATGGGTTTGCCTGTGAGAGGCAGCCCTTGGTTGGAGTAGGTCATAACTATGTCCCAGACATGGTCTGGGGTGAAACTTGCTTTTACCTTTCTTCCCTTTTCCAATTCTCTTCCTTGACTGCACAACAGTAACTTTCCAGATAGAGATGTTTGATGTGCTGAGTTAAAAAGGAAATCTGATGGAAATCTGGAGACTACAGTTAAATTTTCTATGCCATTTGATGAAAGTGAATGTGCAAAATCCACTTGAGTCTTATTGGTACTGAGTGGCCAGGGATTCCAGCTCTGTTATGAATTTAAAGGGAAGAGCTTTCTCAGAAAGCACCAGAATGACGATTCTTTAAGTGTTATAGAGTAATTTGTCAAAAACAAAACATCAAAGTCATATTGGGATTGAGAAATTCTGCAAGATCAGCAATGTTTTTCAATTGAATGAAATGAAGACTATTTTCTGTTCCCTTTGGGAATATACAACCTTATGGGAGTATACAACCACAATAAAGACATTTTAGCTGATCAAATCCATTTCTTGAGATATGAGACATGAAATAATATTGGTTAGTTATGAAATAAAGTTTAGTGGGAGAGGTTCAAATACGTGTGTAAATCTGTGCAGGTGAATTTCCCTTCTCCCAAATCTAACCAGGAAAGGATCACAGATAACATCTTTTAGAAAGACAGGTGGCAGATGTGGAGCCCTTTCTTTAACTTCATGAGTCCAAGGAGAACTGCATAATTAAGAAGCTCTTACAGAGCTATTTCCCTGTGTAACAATTCACCTGCTCATCGCTGCTCTGTCAGAGATCAGGTTCTAGCCTTGTATATTGTTTTTAGCTTTTACTTCTTTGAGTAGTCATATGGAAACAAAGTACCCCAAGTTTGCAGTGTAGGACTGACGTAATTTTCACGGTGAGTCACCATGCAGGCCACCTTTGTTAGGTAATTTGCTTTGTGTGGCATGAATGGAAAGCCAAGAATGTGTGAAGCTAAGCAGCAGTGCAGAAGTGCACTTCCCTTTGAAGTGCTCCAGTAGTGAATGTGTTAAATGTTTTCATCAGAGACTTTAAAAAAAAGACACTTGGTGGATCTGCAAGAAAAAGTTTACTTTATTAAAGGGAGTGAAAAGCCTCTCACACCTAAGAGAGTAGGAAAGAAAGAGCACACCGTTCCCTTTTCCACAGCTTTTAATCTTAAAAACAATGTAATCCTCAGTCGCTGGGGGCAGAGCCCGCTGTGGCGGGACCTCCCTCGCAAAACTGCCGGGATCCTCTCATTTCCACCCTGAGCAAAGCAGGCGCCTTCTCGAAAGGAGTGAAAGCCTCCCAGCTCGTCCGGCGGCACAGGAATAGCCATGTCCACGGGGAAGATCTGCTGCCTGGTGCTGCTGACCCTGGGGGTGCTGGCGGTGGCCGTGACACTCGTGGTCATCCTGACCCAGCCCCGCTGCGGTCCCCAGCGCTACCTGCACGGTGCCGTGGCCGCCGACACCGAGACCTGCTCTGACATCGGCCGGTACGTGCACGGACCTCTCGGCTTTTCGGGTCGCTTGTCGTGGATGTCGTGCCTCGCACTGACAGACAGGACAAGTACTAACCACGGGAGTGAGCCGGGTTTCTGCCCCGTGCCCGCCTTGGGGCTGAGCAGCGATGCTGGTCCCTGCGTGCTCTCCGTCCGGCACTGCAGCAGCTCGGGGGGCAGACGGAGCCCCTGCTCTGCGGTTGATGATTATTTTCATTATCCAATGTCGCAAAAATTTGCAGCTCTGCAAACCCATGAATTTTTGGAAGGTATAAATATTTACAGTATACAAGTACAAGGCTGTTTTTAAGTGGGGAAGTGGGAAATTTACTCTTCACAGCATGGTGGTAGGTCGGGCAAGTGGCTTAGAAATAAACTAAGAAGTTAGAGGAGCTTGCAGAGAGCTGCAACTGGGCTTCGACAGAGGCAAGGAAGGCCAGGCTGAGAGGGAAAGGAGGGCTGGGCATCCCAGTCTTTAGGAGGGGGTATGTTTCTGGACTGAAGCCTGCAGCAGGTGTGTCTGCTATGAAGAAAAAAAGCTAAGATCAGATTTAATTGAAATTAATCTGAGACAGCATAAGTACAGAAGACATACATAACTGGGAAAGAAAGATGTAAGTTTAAAAAATTCTCCAACTGCTGAGGTTGTACCATTCCAGTTTGTGTAATAACCTCTCTCAAACACTTTAACTCCCATGTTATTACTTTACTGTTACTGTTCCTACTCTTATTAAATGTTTGTGTACACAAAAGCAGAAGGATGCAAGTTTACATGCTGCATGTGATGCTGGATGCTCCAGCAATGGATGCTGGAGCTGTGTGCTCTGTGGCTGGAGCAGTGAGATGAGATTTGGTGCCTTCATACCACACTTTGCCATGTCTCTCATTGGATTCTTGCCATGAGGTGCTGACACAGCAATGACCAAACCCTAAAGCTGAAACCAAGTGTCAGGAAGGATCTGGGAGGAAAAGCTGTAATCAGATCTTGTCACTGAGATACCTCTACAGAGACTTTTGATTGAGGGTCATGTGTCTCTCTAGGATTTTGCTTTACAATTAATCTCATTGCAACAGTGAACCCCATAAAGGGAGCCACGTAATTGGACAGGGTGTGGTCTGGCTAGACGAGAAAGATAATGGTTGTAAATTCCCCAGGCATAACTTCCTGGGAAGTGGCAGATCTCTGTCTGAAAGTGGGTGAACCATGCTCAGAGAGCCATGTGTGACACACCAAGAGCCAGCTCAGAGAGTGTTTTCTGTTGTGTTTCAGTCTCCAGAGAGGCTGGAGAGAAAACTACCGAGACTGGGGGCCAGTCTGCAGACTGGGATGAAGATCTTCATCAGGGAATGCTCCTCCAGGCACAAGTGTTTCTGGGGACATGGTGAGGGGTGTATGGCATTGTTTCAGAGGGACAGTGGCAGGAGGATCCCAGGACACAAGGCAGTACAAGATGGGCGACCTCTTACACAGCTGTGAATGTGGCTGGGAAACTTGCGTGAGAAGTTGGGACTTTTCAGGATTTTGGGGAAATGTGCCTGATGTTACATGATAAGGTCGTAATGCATTGCATTGAAATGCATACCATATGATCTCAAAGCTTCTTTTAAAGGTTGTTTTTCACTGCCAATTATCCCAGAACCATGGCTTTCCCTGGCACCACGCTTTGTACATGTGCTGCTTCATAGCCCATAATCCAGGGGCTCTGGGGAGCACTATCCTGGCTCAGTGTAGTGGTCCTTCTTCCCTTTTTCCCCAACTTTCTAACCTGCTGTCTTGGGCCTTCTGCAGGGGTGATTCAGTTTCTCAGGAAGCCCTGATTTCCTTCCTCTTTTGTCATCAATTAAAAGCTTCATTTTCAGAAAAACACCACGACATCGGTGTGGGGAGTCCATCCCCTGCTGCAAGGAGATGGATGAGCAAGCCTGAGCCTCAGTCTCCCAGTTCAGAGCTACAGCCAGGGAGCAGTTTGCTCCAGGGAGGCCAAAAGCCATGCAGACCCCAAACAGAAAGCCCCGTGGTTCCCTACCATTTCTTCCCGCTGGTCCACATGCCATTGCCTTACAGGCAGTGCTTCCGAGGCATTTACGGAAACAAAGGAAAGCCACAATCAGTGCTCCTGCTGGCTGCATCCTGTTCCCAGCCCCAGCAGGACCCAGCCATATCAATGGATGTAAAATAAACAGCAGTCCCTATGTTTGCTCTGTGTTGCCCTGCAGCCTCTGGGAGCAGTTGCACTGCAATTAATGAACAATTCCGCTTTCCCTTCTGGCTTTGCCTTATCTGAGCAATAACCCAATAAATCAGTCGGAAACCTTCAGAGCAAACACAATGCTGGCTACTGGCAGGGTGTGCAGAAAATGCCACCCCATTTCCACAGCAAGGAAAAGGTGTTTTTGAGCTGTGCTTGATCCCTCAAGAAGAACTTGTTGAGGCACATTTCTGTAGCAGAACCTCATTGCTGTCAGCAGCATGAGGATGTCTTAATGCCTGTGTGTTCTCTGATTTGGCTGTGCCTAGTTAGAAACGGTTGTGGGGTTTTTATTGTTTGGGTTTTTTTCTATTTCTTTGTTGGTTTTGTCTTTGGGAACACAGGGAGAGGCAGGGGTGTTTTTGTGCTAATATCAGATAAGCCCAGGAAGGCACACTGTAGGAGCATTGTAGGAGCAATGAAGTTACTATTGTGCTAATTGACACATTAAGTCTCAGGAGTTTGCTTCATATCGACCCATCATTCCTGCTCCAGCTGACCAGCATATGCCTTTTTATTGGGAATGGCATTTGGGGACCTAGGGATCAGTTGTTTCGTTCCCAGCATGTGAAAAGCTCTCTCCTGTGCATCCTCCTCCACACCTGGGAACTCCTTGCTGTCCCTTTTCGTTAACAGCATTTGTGAGCAGCTGCAGTCCTCTCTATCCACAACTCCCAGAGGAAGACCAGCCTCACACATCTCTAGTCCCTGGTTGCTCTTTCCTCCTGCAGATTGGTCGTTCTTTCTCTCTAATTGTTCCTTCTCACTCCCACAGAGAAAGATTGCTCTCTGTGCTCTCACACCCCACACTGCTGCCAGTAGCTTTCTCCACCTGCTGCCTGCTCTCCTCAAGCTGGGGCTGCCTTGCAGGGAGGCAATTTTTGTGTGGTTCCTCCATTCTGTCATTCCTGGGTTTTAACATTGTCTTTTTTCTTCCCTTTCCACCACAGGGACATCCTGAAAAGTGGAGGCACAGCTGTGGATGCTGCCATTGCTGGCTTGATCTGCACCTCGGTGATGAATCCTCAGAGTTCGGGCCTGGGTGGTGGGGTCGTATTTACCATCTATAATGCCAGCACAGGTACGGGCCAGCCCTGGCCTCTCCACGGTGCCCTGTCCCTCTGCAGACACCCAGCTCCTGTGGAGAAGTCAGAATCCTTCCTGTTCTCTCAGAGGAATATTTTGAATATAAAAGCTGCCTCCTCCGATCACAAACCAGGCGTCTCCTCTTAACCCAGAGCATCCATCAGAGGGAGCTGTGATCATCATTCCGCAGCAAGGATTTGTGTGGGGAGGAAAGAGCTCTGATATAAAATGAATTGAGTTTGCCTCTCCTACCCCCTCCAAAGCAATCCCAAATTTCAGTCACACAGCAGACCGCAGCAAGGTGTGAGCAGTGCTGAGATGCCACTGAGCTGCCATGGAATCAGAAAGGAGCAGAGTGAGGCATGTGCTGGAAATGAGCTCATCTGAGCCCTTGGGCTGGGACTTCAGGGGCTCATCCTGCCCCAGCAGCTCAGGCACTGCCTGCTGACATGGGGGCTGCATCTCACTGCCCTCACTGGCATGGGAATTCCCAAAGCAGCAGGGAGACCTGTCCCAGGAGGTGCCTCTTCAATTCAGAATCTGACAGTGTTCAGGGCCTGCTGGGAAGCCTTCCTGCGTTTGGCTTAACCTCTAATGTTGTATTCTTGCTTTTATGTTTTTAATGTGGTTTTTTTTTTTAATTTTGGCTTCCAAAAGCCCCCAGAGCTTATAGATCTAAATAGTAAAATCAGCAACGAACACAGTAACAATATCAGAATTTTAAAACCCCTGCCAAGTAGTCTAACAGAGTCATGAATCTGGAAGTCCTTGGATGTATCTTATGCAAGAGCTTAATTTGGCAGAACACCTATATTTTTCTTTCTTTCCTTTTGGCAGAGACATGTAACTTTCTTTCCTGACAACAGTTCTCTTCTGCTACCTGGGTTATGCTGCACAGAGCCACCCATGGCCCTGCACAGCTTGGATGCTTGGTACACCAGAGAGCAGTGTGGGCTCCTGCAGCACAGCTGGCTCTGGGAACTGTCACAGAAAAGGATAAATACAAGGCAGAGAAAGAGGCAAAATGATAGGCTAGACCTGAAACACAAGTGCATACAAGTGCGGGTTTTGTTGGGTTTGGTTTTGTTTATATTTTCCTTTTAAGCTCCCTGATACATAGAGGGTCTTTCAGTATCACCATTCTGCTTATAAACACGATGGACCTGCCTCACCACCCCTTGGTAAATGGCCCTCCAAGGAACTTGAGGCTCATGTTATGTCTCTGACATGTCCCACCTGTAGAGAAAGTGCAGGAGCCTAAAAATCAGGTGTGGAGCAGCACATCCCAACCCATGTCCCAGGCCAAGAACCCTGGGGGCAACCTTAACTGGCTGGAGACAAGTCCTGGCCTTGTCCCTGTACCTTCATTGTCTCCAGGCAGGTGCTGTTTGGTTTTCTCTAAGTAAAAGCAAGGGAGCAAAGGTGCAGGTGTGCCAAGACCTGACCCTGCAGGTGTGCTGGATACATTTGGCAGAAACCTCCATTCAGGGCAGCTGAGCATGTGTGGTGCTACAGCTGAAAATATGCTGTTCACCTGCTTCAGGAAGACTGTAACGCCTTTCCCTCTTCTCCTCTCTAGGAACAGTCGAGGTGATCAACGCCCGCGAGACAGTCCCACAAGTGTTTCCTCACAATTTACTGTCTGCCTGTGGCTCTGGTTTCCCCATTGGTAAGGACACAGCCTGGGCCCTGAGGGATCTGTGCCCTCCTGGCATGCACAAAGCTCAGGGTGGGGAACCGAGAACCTCGCTGACTTTATCTGGAGTTTCATTTAATTTAGCACACTCTACCTGGATCGGCTTTTGCAAAAGCAGGGAAAAATACTGGGTCCATAACTAGGTAACACTGGCAGCCTGACCAGCGAGGAGGGTGGGGAGCCAGCATGAGGAGAAATCACAATGTAATTTCTCTTTATAGGAAGTCTGCAGTTCAAGACCAGATTTCCCAAAGGACTCACTCATTTCCCAGCAGTTCTTACAGAGAAAAATAAAGTCAATAACTGCTCAGACTTTCTGGAAATGAAAGAAATCAATCTAATGTGCTTGTCTGTGTCCATATATTGGGGAAGCACCCTGGCATGTTGGGATTTGAGTTCTGGGCTCAGGCACTCTTGCTTTAGCAGCACATCCTGGATTCTCCACATCCTGGATTCTTGCTGCGTTCATTCTCCTTTCCTAGCACATTTTCTTTTAGTGCATGTCCTAGTTCCTGGAGGAGATGTTCTTATCCTTCGGAGAAGAGCCTGAAAAGGAATCAGAAAAACTGGTTGGAAGGGACAGCTGGAGGTCTCTGGTTGAGCTCCTGCTCAAAGCAGAGTGGTATCAGGGATAGCTCAGGCTGCTCAAGGCCTCGTCCTATGACATTTTTGAGTTTCTCCAAGGATGGAGAACTTCACAGCTTCACTTGCTCTAGTGTCTGACCAGGCTCCACAAGTGCTTTTTCTCCAATATCCAGCTGCCACCTCCCTTGCTGCAGCATGTGCCTGTTGCCTGTTTTGCTTTCACCTCACCTCTGAGTCTGGCTCTGGCCTCCCTATACCCCTTCTGTTGGATAATGGAAGAAATACGTGAACAGACAAGGGTAGTAAACAAACCAAGCCTGCTTTTAGAAGCCTTGGTTGTCTCTACAAACTCACACTTCCATTGGAGTGCTTTGCCAATGACTTACTGGGTGTGACACTGCTGTTGTGCTCTTCAGGTCCCCCCTGGATTGCTGTGCCAGGAGAACTCCGTGGGTATGAGGAAGCCCACAAACGACATGGTCGCTTACCATGGAAAGACCTGTTTGAACCAACCATCAAGCTCCTTTCAGAGCCACTTGTCATTTCCCCCGTTGTGGACAAAATAATCAATCACCCAATCTTCTCCATTCCAGGAAAAAGCCTGTGGTAAGACCCATGAATGAAACTGCAGCTTGAGAACCACTGTTCCCTCAGCCCCAGACCCTTCCTCTGAGATGCTGATGTGGAGCACAGGCTGCTGCTGTGGCTTGTGCTCAGGGAATACTTGCTATGGAGTGGGAGGGAATCACAGAAGTGGATTTTTTAAGTGGTGGGTTTTGTTTGGTTTTTTTTTTTTAATTTAGAGAGGCTTGGCACAGCAAAACAATCTGCTAAGCGTGACTACTGGTGAGGAGGAGCTGGCACTCCTGTGGCCTGCCTCCATCTGTGTGGAAACTGTCCCCTGACAGCAAATACCCGTTTGGAGGAGCCCCTCTGACCTGAGTCATGTTTAAAGTGTTGGGTTGTGTGGAGGAAACTGTCTGGGGAAGGACTGCCTGGTGCTGTGGGTCACATTTGGCTGTGACGTGGCCTGTGGTGTAGCACTGCCTTGGAAAGTACACAATGTGCATAAACCAGATCAGCTTCAGGCAGGATAAAAGATTATTGGCCCTGGGGAGAGAGCAAGCATGTGCAGTAAACTGATGAATGTTCTTCTTTAACAGCCCACTGCTATGTGATGGTCAAAGGTTTCTGAAGCGTGGAGAGACCTTCAGGTGGCCGGCGCTGCTGCGAACACTGCGAGCTGTAGCAGAACATGGAGCTGCAGCATTTTATGAGGGACAGATAGGAAAGGCACTGGTGGAGGATGTCAGGAAGGCTGGTAGGTAACAGCTGTAATCAGTCCTGATAGGCCTTTTCCCTGCCATTGGCTCTCAGTGAGCCTGTACAGGGGAAAGCCAACACATGCCTTTGCCTTGCTGCTTGGGATGGTGCCTGGTATGGGAAGAGGCCACCTTTGTCCAGTTCTTATAACTGAAGCAGCACTGAGACCACCTGCTGCTCTGGCCTTCCCCCCCAGTGCTCATGCAGTGGCCTGTCCAATTCCCTCAGGCTTTGTGACATCCTGTGGGGTTTGGCAGCAGATGAGGACCCGTGACAACAGCACTGTGCTTGGTGGAAGGAATTTGGGATGTACAGGGATGGCTCTTCACAGTGCCCTGATGCAGCCAGCCCACAGCCCCAGGACAAGTTGATGTGCTAATGCCAGCCACTGGTTCTCTGTTGAAGGGTCCAGTCTCTCACTGAAGGACCTTCAGACATACCGAGCAGAGGTGTCCTCAGCTCTGAACATCACCCTCAACAACCACACCACGGTGTTTGCTCCGGGACCGCCCATGGGAGGTGCAGTGCTCATGTTCATCCTCAAGGTATTGGAAGGTAAATTCCTAATGGAAAAGGGAGAGCAAGAGGTTTTCAAAGAGTGTTGCTCCAGAGTGGTAAAATAGTAATGGGCAGAAATGGAGTTGGGAAGCCAGAGTGGGCCCCAGAGCAGCAGTGTGACTGTGCTATGCAGCAGGGTGATGAACTGGCTCATTCATACAGTGGATCAGCATCACTGTAGCTGCTGCAAAGGGCAAAGGTTACACGATTTTCCCAAGACTTCAAAAGAAATTGAAGTAACAGTGAAAATTTGTACTTGATTGTTTCTGTGTCCATATCCTGCTAAAGCATAGGGGAGACTTGGTAAGAACTGGGACTTAAAAGGAAGCTCCTTTGAGCTTTTTTTTTTTCATTTGAAAAAACATTGCCTTGGGTCTATTAACAAAATTATATCATCCTGCTCCATAGACTACAAACTCCATGAAGCATCACTGGCAACACCTGAGAAGAAGGTAGAAACCTACCATCACATTGCAGAGGCCCTGAAGTTTGGCAACATGCTAAGACCCCACATGAGTGACCCAGCCTTCTCTAGAGCTCAGGTGAGCTGGCACAGTGCATGGGTGCTGTGCTACAGTACCAAACAACACTCTGGCACTCCTGCTTTGCAGCTGTGGAAGGGAAGAAAATACTTAGAGCTGCCAGTCAAGAGCAGTGTGGCTCAGTTGTTTTCTGGGGTGAGAGTGGCTTGGGACCTAATGCTGCCGATGCAGGCCCCAAGCTCTGACTATTGGGGCTGAATCCTTCAGGCTTCCATGTGCCCAGAGACGTGCCCGTGCTGCGTTGGCAGCAGCTCAGTGTCCTTGCTGTGATTGCAGGTGACTGTGGGGACCATGCTGTCTGACAGGATCGTTGAGCTTGCCAGGCACCGAATAGACGCTCGTGGTGACCACCCGCTCAGTCATTACAGCTTGCTGGAGTCCATCTACAACGGTGAATACAGAAGCATGGGCACAAGCCACATCTCTGTGCTCGCTGCAGATGGCAGTGCCGTGTCTGCCACCAGCACCATCAACTACCCGTGAGTGGCCGAGGGGGGTGACTGAGTCACACAGGCCACGTGCCAGGCTCACAGGGTCCTTGCAAGGGCTGTTTGCCAGAAATACAAACCCCTTGGGCTTCGCTGATTTCGGCAGCTCCTTACTTGTGAATGCCTTTTCCGTGTGACAGCAAAGGCCTGTGAGCATCAGCTCCGAGGACCATCACAATTCAGGAGGACGTAAGAACTTACTGAGCTATTGCTGAGCGTCTGTGGGTTGGGCAAATCCCCATGGGCAATAGAAACAGAGGGTTTGCCTCTGACATCATCAGCAGCATGAATTCCTTTTGGACACTCTTGCTGGGGCAGTTGCAGGCTGGGAGGAAACAGAGGTAACCCACAGGGTGCCTTGCTCAGTTAATGTCATCAACAGGAGAGCCCTGGGCACTGAAAGGCTTCATCTTTCCCCCTGCAGGTTTGGCTCCTTTGTGTATTCTAACCAAACCGGGATCATTTTAAATAATGAACTTGCTGATTTCTGCATGGCAAACAGAAGCATTAACCCAGGTGAGCATTCTCATCCTCAAAATAAGGCACGGGGTCAGGAGGTGGATACACAGGCTGTGCACAAGTGGGCAGAGACTACCTGTAAACTACAGGTACTCTTTCCTTTCATAGGCCTGGATGAGAGCAAGTTTGTTTCAAACTAAAAGAGGATAAAGCCCTGTAGTGTGTCTGTGTCTACTCACATATCCCCTTGCATGGATACACAGGAGTTCTGGATTCTGACCAGAGAAATCAGAAATTAAAAAAAGTGCTGAAGCAGATCACTGATTGATGGGGAGGAGAGGGAAGAAGTGAAAAAACTACTGCTAAGACAGTCCTGCTGACATTTTAGGCTCATCTCTGATTCTAAATATATAGCTGCTGCACAGTCAGTAATGCTGCAGCCTTGCACTGAGCTCTGTAACACAGCAGTGCTGGTGCAGACACAGCTCTGTGCAATCAGCTATCCCTGGTGCAGCGTCCCTAGGGCCTGCCAGGAGAGGACATCATGGCAGGATTGCTGCCAAGGGTTCCTCAGCTGGGCTGAATAAACTGCAGTGAGCCCTGAATGCTTGTGGGATGCCTGTTCTGCATCAAGAGGATCTTCCTCTTCAGACTGTGCCATAAAGGTCCAGCTTCTTGGGAGACAGGCTTTTGGCACAGGGAAACTCATTTTTCTGGAAGTCTCGAGATTCTTTAAGGAAGAAGTAGTAGCTTGGTTTTCTGTGGGAAATACAAGAAAGGTGAGGTAGGTGAACTTGTGTCCCTCCAATCCTTTTAAGAGCCACATGGAAAGGATAATACTCTCTGTCTCTGCTCTAGGAGAGAAGCCTCCCTCAGCAATGGTGCCTTCCATCCTCATCTCCAAGACAGGAGACATGCTGGTGATTGGGGGAGCAGGTGGGGCCTGGATTGTCAGTGCTACTACCATGGTAAGTGAACAGGTGCCACACAGCAACAATTTCCACTGAGCAAAGGGAGCACACACTGTCCTGAACTACTCAGCTCACCTCAGGTCTTGACACCTTGGTATTTTTTTTTTTTAATTTTTGCAATTTAGAAGTCATAAAGGCTTCAGGCTGGAGGCCAGGGAAAGCATTCTTGGAATAATTATTATGTGCCTGCCCTGTTCTTTTACTTGCTCTGAGCATCTGATATTGGTCCCCATGAAAGCAGGAGACCAGGCTGGTAGGACTGGGAGTCTGGCTCAGTGCAGCCTGTTGAACAGTCCAGGTTTGCAGGCAGGACTTCCAGCAGATCTGCTCTGGCTGAACACCAGTGCAGGGGTTGGCAGCACGTGACCCAGGTTCTTTCTGAGTATCTCCAGTCAGGCAGTGTGGGGTTGGTTCATTGCAGGCAATCATAAACAAGCTGTGGTTTGGCTACGACTTGGAACGCGCCATTTCAGCTCCCGTCATGCACACTGAGGGTGACAGTGTCCTCTTCGAGGAGCGTTTCAGTGAGGTGAGTGGCCTTGCTTGGCTCTTCTTGTCTTCTCCTCTTGGTGGAAAACAGATTGCTCTTGTAACTCTCCTAAGTAATCTATATTTTGCCTCTGGTTAACCTCCTTCTTGTTTAAATCTTACCTTCTCAACCTGCCTCCACATACCCATCCTTCATTTTCACACCTGGCAACACTAAGACCTCAGCCCCCTACCCCATTCACCCCATTTCCTCTTCTCTCCCCCCACAGGAAGTTAGGAGTGGCCTGCTGGGAAGAGGACATAAAGAAAAGAAAGATAAATTTGTAATGAATGTTGTGCAGGGAATTTCCAAGGAAGGAAAATGCATCTCTGCTTACTCTGATAAAAGGAAGCTGGGGAAGTCGGCTGGATATTAGCATGGAATGCCATCACAACTCACAAAGCCATAGGAGATAACCAGATCCAGAACATGCTTCCCTTGGACATGCCCATAATTGCCTGTTCCACCAGGGTGCCTCCTGGAGCATGGGCAAAACCTGTGACTACAGCTAATTCCAGCAGACTGCAGGTACCCTCAGGCAACGTAAGGAGAGGTCAGCCAGCCTTGTTTAGAGCTACACCTTCCATTACTTGTGTGATATACTGAAAAACATATTTCTTGAGCACATCAGCTACTCAGAATGAGAGAATAAAAAGTGGGAAAGGAAAATTGGTCCAAACCCCACTGGGAACACTGTGAAATGACCCAGCTGTATCTTCTGTTCCTGCTGGAGTCTCAGTTAACAGTAGAATTGGTTTCTTTCAGGCTGTTGCACAAGAAGCTTATTACTACTGGGGCTCAGCAATGTGAAATACATAACTATTTTGGCTATGAAGACTACAAGGAGTGTCTGTAGGGTCAGGATTTTAAAATCTGAAGCATCCAGGCTTAGAGGGTGGGTTTGGAAAGAGAAGAGAGCAAAATTCCACACTCCCCCTCTCCGTTTTCCCATGTAAAGAAGCCCTATTTTCCCGAAGGTGGCAGATGATATCACACCACAGCACAAGTGCTGCCCTGCTCTACTGCTCTCTGCCCTAGGGGTGCAAAGGACCCCACAAGCTCAGAGTAACTGTGCCAACACTTAGTCCAGCCCTGCAACTTGGTGATTTTGAGAATAGCCTCCCATGGGGCGATGTGAATTCCCTGCTCCTGACACAGGGCTTCAGCTTAGCTCCCCAGGGGCACCTCTCCCTGTGGCGAGAGGAGTCCCACTCTGTGCCGGTTCTCCCTCCTCAACGCTGGTAGGTCAGTTGTTTGGGAGGGCAGGTGAGCACTGCAGTGGAAGCGCTGCTGGTTTTGGAAGCTTTAGAACTTTCTTCAAAATGCAAAGGAAACCCATGATCAGGAGATAACACTTGTAGCCATGAGCTCATCCCGGCCAGGCAAACACCAGGACTGCTGGGCAGTGACGCAGCACCATCAGGCATTAGCAGAATTCTCTTCTCCCACAGCTTATGCACATGCTCCAAATCCCTGTTTACCACAGTTAGTCTCTAATGTTCCCTTCAGATCACAAGGAGGATGTTGTAGGACTCTAAGAACTATCACAGAGAGAGAAAACTTCTGGAAAAGAAACCTGAACTCATGCACCTGGACTCAAAAGGTCTTTTGCATTTTATCCATAACATTGCCCTGCTCAAAATGGCCCAGAAGCACACATTAAAAAAAAAAAAAAAAAAGACAACCCTCAAAGCTCTTCTCAAATATGCAGGGGCAAATTTTCAGAATGTCCCCAAACTCCATTTTCTGAAAGCTTATGAGCCTGACTGCCCTACGTTGCGTGTGTCTGGAAGTGAAACAAACCAGAGCCAGGCCTAGCAGAGCCCTCCCTTTCACACACATGGCCCATGGGACTCAAACAAATACAAACAAATATAGTCCCTCTACAAACACCATAACAAGCACACTCTATTAAAAAGCACAAATTAAACAAGGCCAGCTCAGTTTTACACCAGTGTTCTTACCCATGAAGCCTGTCCAATAAAGCCATCAGTTCACTGAAACTTCAGCCTTCACTTGCATTTTAATGATGGTCTGAGTGAAGCTGACCAGAGCCAGACGTGTTTTCCTTCAGAATTGTACACCAAGGGCCATAGTCTGACCACCCCTGCAGCAGAGTTAATGATTGCTACGTTACCAGATCGTAACTGCAGTCACTTAATCAAGCATCTGGAAGACAAGTTGTTTCTGTACAGAGCCAGCTCCACGCACTCCTTTGTCCAAATGGAATTTGTCTTCAATCCCCTAGTTCAGGAAGTTCTACCAGTTTCTCTGTTAGAGCTGCTTACTCAAGCCATGGAATTGGCCCCGTGAGATGGGATTACAGCACTGGTGAATGGGAAGAGAGAAAGGGAATGGGCCCAACAGCTGAGGGGGGTAGTATTTATGTTCATTTGGAAGGGGTTACATTGACTACGACTAACAAAAAAACCCCAGTCTACTTAATTTGCTGAAGTTTTCTACTTTGATTAACTCCCTTACCCCAGGTACCAGTTCCTGGGTGCACTGATTCCAGCGACAGAAATAACACCCCAACAGCAGAGCTGTCGCAGGGGAAGCACTTTCAGGCGCCAGACACCATCTGCAGTCGCTGCAGCTCCAAACGGACTAACTAGACTGGAGGCTGGCTTTAGCAAGACCCAGCTGAGCTAAGACCCCACTGAGCTAAGAGCTTACAAACAGCAACCAGGAGTGGCACTGGCTGGAGACAGGGGGACTGGCTTCCCTATTAGGCTTCAGGGCCACCTTCAGCAGTGCCCTGGGTGCTCTCCATCGTGTTTCACCACAGAAAGCCCAAGTCACCAAGTAACTGAGTCTTCCATTACCTTCACTTCTGACACACTTGAGGGTAAAGCACCAGAGTACTCCAGTCCTATCACCTCTCCAGTGCAGTAACATCACAGCTTCTTCCCACCACAAAGACACGGGAATATTATCTGTAGTCCAGTGCTCACTACAGTTTAACTACTTTGCTACTAACTTCACAACTGAGCCAACTGAGCAGTTTTAAAACCCACCACAGCTTTAATTTGCAAGACAGAAAGGAATGGGAGTGCAGACCTCTCACTGCAGTAGAGACTTCCAGTCCTGTTGTCGTCACTAACAGAACACCTGGTGAAGCTGAGGAATTGTACCTGCCTTGGCACCTCTGCTCTTGCCCTGCCTTGCCCTTGCCTTGCCCTCCTCGCTGCTTTTGAAATCTGCTTGAGTCAGGAGCCTCCCAGTTTGGTCTCTCTCTGTTCATGCTCCTCCCAACAAGAGAGTGTTATTTTTGTACTGAAATCAACTTACACGGACTTTCAAAGCATCACTGTACAGAGGCTGCTCTATTTTCTAATGAAGTCTATAAATTATACTTTTAATAAAGTGTTTTGAAACCTGTCTGGGAATTTCTCCTCTAAACCAGTTGCACCACCAGTTGTTTGAGAGAGGACATCCATGCAGGTGTTCCCAGCAGTAACAGCTGTTCATTCTGGAGCCTCAAGAGGCTGCTGGAGAAGCTGAGGAGCAGCAGACTGCACGAGCAGCACAGACATAGCAGGAGTAGTGGAAAGTGGTATCTGAGCAGGTGGCAGAAGAGCCTGTCCTGTGTACAGATATGTTATCCTGTAATTACAGCTTGCAGAAATATTCATAGGGGTTTTTGGTTTTTTAAATGTAGGATGTAAGGGCAAGCTGTAGCCCAGTTTAGTTTCAAGAAATCATTCCTCTGTAGTGATACTGCTAAAAACCAACCAAACCCATTTCTGCAGAGTCAAGAACTCAGAGGCATTTAGAGGAACAATTGTAAACAGAAGTGTTTATATCCATGGCAAAATCTGAGCTTTCCATGAGGGAAGTTTTGTAACACAGGTTATAAATAACAGGGGAGTTTCTTTGACTAGCATGAAGACATTTAGAAACATAAGAACAACGGCTGCACCACGAACTGTTTGAGGCAGCCCAGCAGGCAGTTACTCAGACTTGTTTCAGAAAGCATCATTCTCCAACAGTCCCTTCCCAGAAACCAGTTCCCTTCCAGTTTCAGAATAACTATAGTGTCTGTAAGGTTTCAATAAGCTAATTTTTCTGTCCAGTACTTTTCTTTATTTCCCAGATCAGACTCAGCCAAGAGAGAGCTCAGCTAGTCCCAATTCCAAAGGGCAGGTGTTTCCAACAAACAGCAGCCAATGCTGTTCCACACACAGACCTGTACCAGAGCTTCCCAAAATGGCCCTGCAAGCTGGATGAGAACAGCAGCCTGACACTGAGGGCCACCTGCTGCAGAATTACAAGAATTAGAAAAGTGAAAGTCTCAGTTTAGGAATAAAAGGGGACAGGAAAAGGAGCCAGAGCACCCCCCGGGCAACGTTTGGTAAAAGCCACTCATTTAGTTCAACTGATATAAGCAAATATATATATCAAAGTTATGACTCTGATTTAAGCGTGACCTGGGTATCACTTTATTCCTTGAAACTGGGCTGTCCTCATTTCCAGACACTCCTAGGAAAGAGAGGTGCCTGATGCCTAGAATTTCGGCCTTTCATTTTCCCTTCTGTATTTTAAGGTTCTTACAAACTGCCAGGAAGTTTCAACAAGCCAAATAGAATACTTCAGTTACTTTCACTTGTGTTTCAAGGATTTCATAAACACCCCTAGAGCCTGACAACATCCTGGAAGATTCAGTTTTGATCTTAGACTAAGTTTGTGATGAGATGTAATTGTCCGTGCTGGTAGGTGAACACCAAAGCCCCTCATGCAGATACAGATACTCTCAGCTGCTCCATATCAGACAGGGATTTCTCAGAGGTCATTAACTGGTTAATGGTAACTTACCTTCAAACAAGGGTAGCTGCAGCATGCCCTTTTTCAGAAGTTTCATTTCCCCAGGCTCTGGTATTTCAGGTCTGCAGTACGACACGGTAAAAAGCAAACTGGAGAAAAACAAGCTTGTTTTGGATGTTTAACTATCATTGTTTACTCAGGACTTCATCAAAGAAGAGAAAAAAAGAGAAAAATCTCAGGAGGAGCTTCTTTCACACAGACTCTCACCATCCCTTTTCGAGTAGCAACCGTGCAGGCAAGAAAAATGTGTGACTCCGTATTTATTTATTTTAGTTGTGCTCAGAGTTTTACAGGCAGCATCTTCCCTTTAGACCTTCTCAACAGAAATATAAAAAAAGTTTGAAGCCATTTCCCCATTTCCCCACTCACCTCCAATAATCAACTGGGTGAAATGCAGAAACATCTTTTGTTAACAGAGTGGTGAGTTTGGCTTATCCCAGTCTAGAGCTGGGCTTTCTGCTATGGCACAGATCTGTTAGTTTGCAACTTAGAAAACCCAGTCCCCAGAGTCCTGTAACTCTCACCTACTCAACAGGAAACAAACATCTTCTCTAGCAGTGACAGGGACATTCCTGGTAGCTGACACTGTGCAGGGGAAACACTTCCTGCAGCTTGAGTGAGTTGGACTTTCTGCAGAAACTGGGCACCCAATCTGTGTTCATGGGATGGAGAGGAGGCAGGGAACAAACTCTTCAAGGCAGAACAGACTCTTCAAGTAAGTACTGCACGTCCTGGTGGACATGCCTGTCTTAGCAGACGGCTGTGGCATGAGGCACTTCGGTCATGGCTGTAGAAAACTGTCCCAGTTCCGTCAACAGAATCACAGGTAAATGTGTTCTCTTTCCTGTGAGGAGTCCCTGAGTTGCAGACCTAAAGGATCTTCCCCCCAAACACACCCTGGTGTCACTAGACCACTGAAAGAAGGAGCCCAGCCACGTCAGTAGCCTGCAGGGAAGCCGCCTTTTCGGGAATCGGAGGCCGCAGCCCAGCCCTTGTCCGTTCGGAGGATGGCCTGCACCACCGCGCCGCCGCTCACCCGCGCCGTGTCGTGCTTCCTCTTCTTCAGCTGATCTTCTATGCCCTGCAATGCAGGAGGGAGTGAGGACAACGGGACAAGGAAACTGTACACATGCCATGGCCTGCGACCTGCATCCTGCACGACTACCTGAGTGCTCAGTGCCTGTGTTGTGTAGGTCTAAATCTGTTGTTCCTCCTCTTCCCTTTGTTTCCAGGCTGCCCTGCCTTTGAAGAAGTGGAATTGAGATGATGTGCTATTTGTGATGTTCAGTGTGGGCTACCAATACTATTCTTGGCCACAGAGCGTTCCACCTCAGATGTCCCCATGCTGACAGCCAGGACTGGTGGATCCTGTTTGGCAATGGTGGAAAACACAGGACTTGTAGAGAGCAGGGCATCCTCTCCAGTGCTGCCAGGTATCTACCAAATGTTACCTTAATAAGAAGCTTATTAACAGAGGAAGTTCTGCACAGCATGTGATGAGAAAACTGCCTTATGTAGGAGTGTTACCTCAAATACAGAGACACGGGATGAAACATGCACAAAGCCTGCATCTGTCTCAGGGCTCTGGGATGTGTAATTTCTCAGGGTGAATGAAGCTGCCAACTCAGGAGCGTGGCCTGCAGGGTGAGGCAGGCCTTGCCATCAGCTCTCAGACTGACAGCACTGTGCAGAGATCTTTACATATTTTCAAGTTTGTCCCCAGGTCCCTCTGTGCATCCCCCCTCGTTAGCTCTGGGCCAGGGCTTCAGGATTCATCATGAGCTTGCACAATAGGACAGGAGTTTCCTGAGGCTCACTGGTCTAGACTGCTGGATGGTTTGGGTCCTGATGTGGTTTGCTGTTTTGCAAGCCCTTTAAGTCAAACACCACTGCAAGCAGGTGCTTGGTTTCAGATGTGGGTCACTCTTCAATGCACTGGTTTCACACCCACGTGAATGAGACTAAAGTTACACTTTGAACAGCTTATTGTGACCCAGCACTTAACCTGTACCAGCTTTAATACTGCTCACCTAGGGAATATTTGGCCAAACTTCCTGATTTTCCACAGTTCATGCCTTCCCAGCACTAGGAACCCAGCCCATACAAGTTCATGTGCACCCCAGACTCAGGTGAAACCAACCTTCTCTATTTGCAGCTCAAGCTCTGTGATGTTGGGAAACAGCTGATCGTGGACTCTGGGCTCTTCCACTGCTTTCTTCACATCATAACCAAACCAGATGGAATTGATGATTGTCTGTGAGAAGAAAAGCCCTAACATTAGTGACTTGTCTTCAAGGAGGCCTGACCCTTGTAGCCACACAGGCAGAGAAGCCTGAAGGGTGTTCACCAGAGCACATAAAAGGCACCATTTCTGGCTCACGTGGCTTTCAGTGGTTCTTCTCTTGGCTAAGCAAAACACAGGTACATTGCAGCCAGTCAGCTCGTGTATGCTTAGCAGGATTCACACACACAGAGAGACCGTGAGTTACTAAAATTAACATAGTAAAAGGATCAGATCCTTAAGTTACAGTAGCTGGGTTTGTGCTGCTGTGATTAAGCACCCAACAGTCACCTCAGCAAGCACACAGCTGCAGCCTCCTGCTATTGTGCAACCAGTTCCCTTGGGCCTGGCTCATCTCTATGTGCTTGAACTGCAGGCTGGAGCTGCTGGGAAGGGAGAACAGCCTCAGGGTCTGGGGCTTAGAAAGCCACTTACAGTGTTTTTTAATGACTTCTCTACCTCAATCAGAAAGCCAGGTCCAGCCTGGTGCTGCTGTGTGTGCTGGCACAGGGGACAGCTTTCTTCTGCAGTCACTTTTAGGTTAGTTGGACATTTGAGTGGCTGCCACAGCAGCTCACAGAGAGCCTGCTTGCCACTGACATCATGCCTGAGCTAAGTTCTTATTAACCTCCCTGTGTGACTTTCATCCAAAGTTTAGGATGGTGGATGGGAGTGGCTTTAAACTAGGTAAAGAGCCTAGTTCATGGAGATCCAGAGAAAGGAACTCAAAGCTAATCTGAAGTCACAAATCTTCCACAAGTGGTTAAGAACAACTTGCCAAAGGAAAAGAGCTGGAGTCACTGAAGGAGGCAGTTTAATAGCAGACCCTTTGTAGCCCTGGCAAGAGTTGGAGGTCTGGCCCTTAGAATGCCAGGCAGAAACCTCCTTTTCAAGCCCCTGGCCCAGGGCAGGGAGCCACAGCCATGATGGTGTCCCAGGTGTAGAATGGAGCCCCCCCTTGCCCCAAACGCTGCCTCTCTCTAGTTTTGCCTGGTGGTGCTCCCCCTCTGCCCACACCATCACGTACCAGTGCTGTTGCTGTAGTTATTTTTGTTCCTCCAGAAGCACCGACCACCATCCTGACCTTTTTCGTTTTATCCACCAAGATGGAGGGGCACATAGAGGACATTGGCTGTTTACCTGTCGGGGACACAGATGCAGCAGAGGCTCAGTTTTCCACCTGCACCTTACAAAGTGCCAGTTCCTGCTCCATGCCTAAACCCAGAGCCTCCGTATCCACCTTCCTGACTCAGCTCATGTGCCTTGTTTGGCCCCTGAGGATCCCACCATCCCCTGCACCCATCTCCTTCTTGCCCCTGCAATGCCAAGCTTAACCCTGGTCCTCCACACGGAGAGTGAAGGTGCCTTCCTCCAGTCCTGTCCCATCTGGGGCTGTCTGTGGTGCAGCTGTCTCCAGTGCACCACAGGACTTCCATTCCTGTCCTTTCACTCCCCTGTCCCTCTCCAAAGCCTGGAGTACAGGAGCGTAGCAGAATCCCAGCCTGCTTTGTCAGCAGTGAGATGGGTCTGCAGGAAACAGTGGTGGAGCAGGCAGTTTGCCTGGATAAGGTGGGTGAACTGGATCTATCCCAAGGTGCCCTACAGCTCCTCAGGAAGGAGGGAGAAGGCTGGGCAGAGCCATCCAGCACTTTGCAGTCAGCTCCTGCTGCTGCCTCCCTCTTCAATTAATCCAAAGAAATCTTTTGCAGCTTTTAAGTCGTTCCATTTGACATGTGCTGATCTCCCTGGGAAAGGGTTTGTGGTTGTTGGAAGGAGGCATACAAAACAGTTTTTCTCTAGACAGCCTCTCCTCCTTCGGGGTGCACCAGGGCTGGCTGGTTGTGTGCCTTTGGCAGGAGTGCCAGGTGACTCGCTTCCATCCCTGCCCTCTGCAGAAGGTCCCAGATCTGTGCCTGATGGCAGACATGCTGCAGCCTGAGTGCACGACAGAGCCAAAACTCTGAGTCAGGAAGGCAGTTTACAGCTACCTGGTGCTATGAAATTTGCTGGAGAAGGAGGGATCCCAAATCCATTGATTATGTAAGGCGAGCTGAAGTCATCCATCTCATCATTAAATATGATTCCACTCATGTTGGATCGTACATCAGAGCCAAAGCTAGAGAAAACAAGTTGTCATAGACATGTCAAAACCAGAGCAAATCCAGGAGCTTTAGGTGAATTACTGCAATGTGAAACCTGGGATTTGATTGGAGTAACTCTCCACTCCCTCCCATTGTAAAGGACTTTCTGTCACCCCTAGGGGATAAGGAAGCAGTTAATACCATGAGTACACAGCTACACACAGAGGAAAGACAGCCCAGAACCCTGCCTACAGCTCCCCTTCAAGAACCCTGAGGGGGGAAACCCAGCACAGCAGCTAAGGACAACTATTTCCCCTTCCAGCTGGGCAGTACTGCATTCCATTCAGAGGCAGCAGAGCTCCAAGGCTGGCACATTTGGGAATGGCTGGGAGTTTGCTTAGATGTGTCAAGCTGGAGACATTTTTGTCCACATTTTCTATGGACAAGAGGAACCTTCACACCCTGGCTTCAGGACATACACACAAACACAGTTCTTTCTGACAGCACTCAAAGCCAAACACTGCACTTCCAGGCCAGCTGCATCAGCTCAAATTCCTTCCAAAAGCCTGGGAAATCAGAGCCAGCAGTGATAGCACTGCTTATGAGAAGATCCAGATGCAGTGAGTGTTGTCTTGGCGGGGGGAAACTCAACATGAGAAAGGACACATCTCGTCCTCTGACCCAACCACAAGGTCTCAGGGTTCAGGACTGACCTGCAAGCTCAGCAGAAGTGCCCATCGACAGCGCTACTGATCCCTCTGCCCCCCGAGAGGTGACAGCTCAGAGGTGTTTGATACCAACCCCAGAACCACCACTAGGAAGATGGCAAAGGCCTACACGGAAGTAATGTCTGAGCTCATACTATTGGTTGATGGTGCTGGTGGCGGACACAGCACTGCCATCATCAGCCACAATGGAGATGTGGGATGTACCGGCATTATCTCCAGTGTAATATACGGGCTCATAGTAGTCAACTGGATGGGAGGTGTTGTCTGTGATTTTCCTCCGGAGACCATCCGCAAAGAACTCGGATGTCATGTTTCTGATTGCCTGTCAGAGAAATCCAATGCAGTTACTCAGCAGATTAAGAGACATGTAGTTATGAGGCTGATATCCAATACTTCAGACCACAGAACAGTGGCAAATCCCAGCAGTGAGGCTATAGTTTTCCAGCAGGGGCTTGTCTTCTTGGAGGATGGACATTGTACCAAAGAGCATTTTTAAGCAGTCACAGGAGCAGCTGTTACAGTGCACCCCTTTGTGTAGAAGTTAATCAGCATCCATTTTTGCAGCACTATGGAAAGCTGTCCTCCACACTGCTGTAAGGCATAGGCAAGCAGGGCTACACTTGTTTCAGAGATGAGAGGAACAGGATCGGGTTGAGAGGACAAGGCTAAGGCAAGCTCTGACCATGGCTCTGTCAGTTGAAAATTTGTGTCCATCAAGCTGGGCTGGGCTCAGATCCTGCTGCTTTTGCAGTCACAGAAGTAGTAGCACAAAGTGTGAATGGGAAAAGCAGGGTTTCTGTCTCACCCCTTCCCATCCGTTGCTCCATTTTACTATAGGCAGGACAGTGGTTAGTGAGCCACAAGGATGCTGGAAATGTCATATAGTGAATAAGGCTTTGAACACTATCAAAACAGGCAGGGATAGCCCTAAACACGCTCAAACGCTCCTGCTGAATTGAGGACTTTGCTTTTCCTTACAGCAGGAAGGTTTCCTCCATATATATCCCTCACAGCTCAGCCATGAGTCACATAGGACTTCACATTTTGATTCAGAGCTATTTCAGTGCCTGTCAATAGCAGGTGGCACAGAGCATGCCTGACAAAGTTTAGTCACCCAAAAACTTCAAGCCACGTTCCAGTCAACCTTGGTGCTGCAGAAAGAAAAGGCTTTTGCCAGGTACCTCTGTAATGTTGACAAACTTTGGATCTCCCAGTAAAGTCCTCTTGGCGTAGGCAAAGCGGAAGGCCTCCACAATGCGGTGGTAAGTCAGACCTTTCTCCTCCACAGTTTTGATGCTGTCAGCAGAAAAATTATATCCTGACAACAGAAGACAAACAAATGTGAGCACAAAGTACAGGGTGAAAGGACTGCTAATACACCTGTGTCAAAGGTATAACCTCAGAGCCCTCTCTACAGAGATGCAGTCACTGGACTGTCCTAAGCTCCACATGGAGAACACAGGAGCTCTGGTAGTTTTGAGCACTGTGGGAGTCACCAGCAGGATTTGTAGTTGCAGAGATGTTTTCCAAAGAAGCCTCAAGTGTACAATAGTTTCCACCCATACAGGTATCAGGGAAGTTCCCTGGTCAGGAGAATATTTTTCCTTTTGCATCTGTATTTCAAGTAGGAAGGTGACACCCCTGAGTTTAGAGCAGAACACGAATGTTTCTGCATGTTGATCCCTCCTGAGGTCTCAGACTCCTCACCTGCTAGAGGGCTATCAAGGGAGGCCCTGCTTCCCAAACAAAAAAGGTGTTGCCTTTGGAGCTCTCCCAGCTCCTGCTGCCTGTGGGGCACTGCTCAGTGGCACTCTCACCTTTCAGTATGTTGAAAATGAGGGCCAGCACGGGGCCACTCAGCGGGGCACTGGGCGTGTAGAGGGTAAACTCTCCGAGTGTGACCTGTATGGGGTCGTTGATCACGGTCGCATTGTAGTCCCGCAGATCTTCCAGTGTGACAATCCCCCCTGGAAAGGGAAGAAAACTACAGATGTGGGTCTGTGTGATCTCTCGTGGGAAGAGGAGATTGTGCTCCATCATCATGAGTCACAGCAAGGGCAGGAGGGAACATGGACAAACCCGAAAAGTGGCAAGGTAAAGAAAGCAATGCTGTGAGGACAGGAGAGGAATTTATTCCATATTAGATCTGTCTGAGGCTCAGATAGCCTAAGCATGGAGTAGGGCTGTTGTTGTTGGGTTTTTTTGTTTGTTTTGGTTTTTGGTTTGTGTTTGTCTTTTTTGTTTGTTTGTTTACAAAGGACAGCGCAATGTCAGGTAACAAAACGCCCTTCAGAGTCCTGCAGCATTTGGCTGCAGATGGTTTGTGCTACCCCACAAGTAGAATAATTTGTGTGTTCCATCACCTTTCTTATCAGAAGGGGGAAGGCAGTAAGTAATTATCCACCGCAAATGAAGCTGGTAAATGACTCGCAGGAGGTTCACCAAAGCTAGCCACTGCTAGCTGGTGAGGACAGGATTCTGCCACCATCTAGTGGCACCGAGAGATCAAACAGCCCAGAGTTTACAGGACCACACATGTAGTGTTTCAGGTAGGAACTTGTTGGATTCAGGCTCTGTAAACAGGCTGTACCTACTAAGCCATGGCCAGAGCCACTCAGACCTGCTTGGCTGTGTGGTTCAGAAATGCACAGCAAGTACTCCCCATTTCTGACCGAGTTTCAAGCACATCCATTAAAACGCTAAAGCTGCTTTTGGGTGTCCTGTTGCCACAGATCTCAGAGGCAGCATTTCAGGCAGCAGGTTTGACCCGCTCCCGAGGCTTCCACAGGTCACTGGCTCCTCCCTGGGTGCTGAGCAGTCAGGCCACTCCTGCTGTTTGGGACAGATGTCCTGTTTCTCACCTACGCTGTGGATGTCAGCGATGATCTGCTTTGCCAGGCTTCCTGTGTAAAAGGCATCTGCTCCTTCTGTGGCTATGGTCTCGTATGTCTTGGCTAGTTTAGGCATCTTGATGATTTCGCCCTCACGCAGAATTTTCCCTCCTTTGCAGAACACTTCGCTAGCAGAGAAAGGAGATTGAGAAGATCAGGTCTGAGAGGCAAGTTCAAAACTATGAGTACCTGTAGCAGCTGACCCAGTATCTGAGTGTTCATGCTAAAGGCCTTTTGGAGAGAAGAGACACGGCCTGAGCCATGCCCCAGGGGTCCTGATTGCACTGGGACATACATAAAAGCAACCAGTGGTTTCTGACCTGGGATTCCATATTGCTCAGTTTGCTCAGTGAAGGCTGCAGCAGGGAGGCTCCATCTTTTTCAGCAAGGTTCCCACCTTCCCTGCCTGCCTGAGGGACCAACAACTGCCTCAAGATGCCCAGGAGGGGCCATAGTCCCTGAACCCAAGCAGTTCAGAGCACAGACTATGAAGCTATGAGGTTCAAAGCTTCCAGTGAGTCCAGGAGGATGTGTTTCACTCCCTGTTAGTTAGATCACTTTAAGGTAGATGGTTTCCTCTCTAGCTCCCTCATCATGGGTCACAGATGTGCTGTTGTGGACCTGCCACACAGGAGTACAGGAGATAAGCCCAGGCTGTACATCCCAATTGGATTGGAAACCCAACCTGCAGCTGCAGAGGTTTTAAGAAAAAGAGAGAATTAACCATGATCTCCAGAGGAGCTGGACATAAACACTGGGGATTTGACTTCAACAAGTGGGGGAGCATTTAAAACCCTTCATGTTCATAGTCATTGCCAGAAGGGGATGGTCAAAGGCATTGCTTGAGGAAGGCTGACTGCAGAGTAAGAGATGACCCAGATTCCCATGCCTGACAGCAGATGAGATGTTCAAGGAGGCTCTGCAATTGCCCCAAATGCAGGTGTGATTAGCTTGGTACACTTACAGCATGAGGAAAAGCTGGGGACTCAGAGAATACATTACATCTGGCAGACTGATCCCAGCACATACTGTAATTCCACCTTTGCTCAAACAAATGAACTTTAAGAGCAGAATTTTTCCCCCTTTAAAGGTCAGGGCCAAGCATTCCTACAATTGGCCACGTGATTTAGCACCTCCATGTAGCTGCAATAACATCAGCAGCACAGTGAGCACGGTGACTGGAGGGCAGGCACACTCCTCAATACGTTACACAAACACAGATTTGCAGCCAAGATGCAGCTACCCCAAATTTGTCTGCACAGAACAGCAACTGCTCTACCTACCACAGCAAGGGATTGCTTTCAATTGACTCCTCTTTTGATTTGATGGCTGCTGCAAGGCCTTTCCCAACAGGGAACCCTTCTTTTGCCAACTTGATACTGGGTAGAAACAGTTCTCTCCATGCCAGTTTGCCGTGACGTTTGTGGGCCAGTTCATAGCCACGGATTTCTCCTGGAACAGCAATGGACAGTCCTCCTGGAGTAGATAAGGAACATGTTAGTCTTCCACAGCAAGGAAAGAAAGTGACTGATGGAGCAGGAGGTAGAGCAGGTGTCTCTGCCAGCCCTGATTTTAGGCAGGGGTTGTGTGTACTGTGACCAGCTCCCCTTCGTGCACACGATGCTTAACAGAATTATTCAGTCTGACATTTGTGCCTGTGTACTCTGGACTAAAGAAATGCCTCTGTCCTCTTGCTGGTAACTTGAGTTTTAGGGTCATTTCCCCTCAGTAGGCTCTGTTCCAGAGCAAAGCTGCTCAGAACACCAAAGCTCTCACAGTGAGAAGACACAGACTGTGACATACTTAAGCCAAAACCTTTGTTGCAGCATTGTAACTCTACAACTGCAACAGATTGATGACTACACTGCACAGTGATGCTGCAGTTTGCTTCAATCCTACTCTCATTGGCATCTCCCAGAAGTTCAGCTGCTCAGATCCCCTTCAAGGTGCTGTTCCTTCTTGGTTAGAGGAGTGACTATGAAGAGAACTAGAGAGTATTTCTTTCTATTTTTTTTTAGGAAGTACTTCCCTAAAAGGAAATTACATCTCTGGAGGCCCCAAGCCATTAGTTGATGCCACAATAAGTATTTAGGGAGGACACTTGAACTGAGAAGAACCCAGGTGATCCACAAAGATTTATTCAAAGAGGTGGAAAGATGACAGATATGGAACAGGTCATGCTTAGTGCTCTGGATTCACCTGCATTTCCATGAAGTGAAAAGCAGAAAGTTGGTGTGAATGATTAGTTTAAAGGACATTATTTTTGGTGTCTTTGTCAGGACAGTTTGCAGACTGTGTAAAGCAGAGGACATTTCCAGGTGAGAAACCCTGTAGATAGGCAAGAACCCAGTAAGAAATGTTCGTGATTCAGACGTGCCAGTAGCAGCTAACATTGGAGCTCCGTGGTCCCCCCAGAGCAGTGAACAGCCCTCACATACCTTTCAGAGAGAGCTGTGTGTCGTTCCCAAACATGTCCTCCGCTGCACCTTTTGGAGCCACCTCTCTCGCATTAATGATTTCCACTTTTCCTTTAATGACAGAGCAAGGAAGATGATGTTTAGCTCTGGGCTCAGCACACAGCCATGGTCTCTGCTGAAGGTCTCTGATCAATGGAAGCCAGTTTCTTGGCAATTACTTTGAGGACATTCCCCCAGAGGTTGTGAGCATCAGTCTTCTACCTTCGCTCAGGTAGGATAAATCACCTGCCTTAGATAAAGTTCTCAAACTGTTCCAGGTGCTTATGGTCCTGTCCCTTACCTGTGCTGCTGTAGATGGTAAAGAAGAGGCCCCCTCCTATGCCCATGCTGTGAGCGTTCATGAGCCCTACACAAAGCAGAGCTGCAATTGCAGCATCCACCGCTGATCCTCCTCGCTGAAGGATGTCCCTGTGCAGCACAAGAGAAGGTGACAGAATGTTACAGTGTCTCAGTTACCTGTGAGCAGTGGATTCATCTTGTCAGAGCAGCTATGACAGATTCTCTAATGCACATTTGTCTACACCCAGTCTATAGGTTCCTCAGGAAAAGGAAGTTTTTAGCTTGTCACCGTAGAGAGCACATCCTAATGGTCTAGGTGCAGACCAGATCAGCCCTCACTAGAGACACATCCAAACTAGCTTGAGAAGACAGAGATGTGTCAAAGTACATGAGGGGACAGGCATCCCAGACACATTAATTACATGTGAGAAACAACTTTCTGAGGCGCCTTAGATCTGCAGCACGTGACACTAGAACTGGGGGACATCTTGATAAATGTTTTTTAAAAGGAGATAGAAAGGCAACTCTGGTTCTCATTGTTCTTGTAACCAGAGATACTTTGCCTGCTACGTTGTCTGTGAGCAACTGCAGTAATGCTTCCCAGGCATGGTAAAAAAAAAAGGTTTTATTAAGGCCTCCTCTTTCTATGGGGAGATTAGGCATTGATTGTCCATGCTGGGCAGCTGCCAGGATTGCACCTGGGCATCGGAGAAACAACAGCTGTGCCTCGTGCAGGAGCTCTCAGAGCTAATGAGAGTCACAGCACAATCAGCAGGTACCTTCCAATTATTGAGCACTGCCCTGCGTCTGTGGCCACGGCCGCTCTCTTGTACGTGTGAGCGTCCGCTGTGTCCGAGCGCAGCCCGAAGAACAGTCCCAGGAACAAGATGAGTCCCAGCAGGGCTCCAGCCAGGGCTGTGGCCACCACACAGCTCTTCTTCATCGTCCTGTGGGAAGAGACAGGATTATCAGCCCTGCTGCCTTGGGGGCACATGGGAACTAGGGAGCAGGTGACCAGGCACAAGTGTAGTCTTTTCATCTACCTCCTTCCATATCCTCAAACCAGCAACTATCACTTGGGTAAGAACCTGCCTCACAGCAGGCAGGTAACATCCACACACTGGAAAAGCTGTGGATTCAGAGGTGAGAGGGAAATCCAAGGAGCAGAACACAACTGGTGTTAGTCATGACTCACATCATCTTCAGAAGAAAGTTTTTTAAAAATTTAACTTCAATCTGCTTTTAAACACCATGGAGGAGTCTGTGGAGGAGTCTCTGTCCAGAAGGTTGTCAAGGACCAGTGCAAAACATATCTTAGTCATTAGCAAGCAACCTCAGCCAAAGCTGTTTTGTGCAGCCCAGTGTGAGCACAGCACTCACTCCCGTTTGGGGCCCTTGGCCAGAGCACCTTCCCAGTAAGCCAGCCACTTCCAGAGGAGGATGGCCAGTGCTCACACCTCCATGTGTCCCAGTCCTGCACGCAGCTGCCCTGGGGGTGCACAGGGTTACAGCTCATCTGTGGGTGAGCGTAGCAAGCCAAGGAGCTCCCCAGCAAGTGTATTCCAGATACACACCAGGATGAGTGAGACCTATTGAGGGAATGGAGAGTCACTGCCACCTTGGTGGGATGGACAGTTCATCACATACAGCTTGAATAACTGCTGTTTGACCCATTTCCTTTTCTGTTACAGGATTGTTCCAGCAAAATAGACTTAAATTCATTATATTGTCTACAGGGACCACCTTCCCCCTGTGTAATGCAGCTTTGGGTTTTTACCACAACTACTTACTTGCACAGTAGCCAAGATGCCCTTTACCTTACCAAAGCATCTGCCATCCTCAGAGACAAGCCAGACCATGGAATTGTGAGTAAAGAATGGATCCACCAACCCCAACCTTTGTGGATGTTCAGCAGCCCAAAGCAGAGTGAACTCCAGCAGCCAGAGCAGCACTCTGTGCCTTGCAGCAGCCACACACACAGGATTAGAGAGCAGTGAGTGTGCCAGCACTGAGCTAAGTAGAGGAAACAGGCCAGGTCAGCCAACCCAAAACTTTTCTCAGAGGGAGGTAATTAGCAAGCAAGGCCCCCTCAACCTCACTCCCACTCCCGTTACTGAAAACAGGAGATATACATTTGCTATCGAAGCTCTGTGAGTCTTAATCTGAGCATTAAAGATTCTCATCTCCAGGTAAAGCAACTCAAACCAGGGTGTATTTCTACTGTATGTGTTGTTCTGTAAACAAATGTCAACTGAGGACAGTAAAAGGTAAATGGATGAAACCTCTTTCCAGGTTCTAGAACTTAATTTACACTCAACTACTTTTAAAAGAGACCAGTGGCGTGTTCGCAGAGCAATGACTGTGCAGGGAAACAGAGAAGCCATTATGTCCCCAACAATAGCTCACACACAGCCTCAGAGTTTAAAGACAGTTTTGTTTGTTGGCAGAGTTCAGCTTCAGCACTGGCAGTCTCCTCCAGGCTTCACAAGGAATGCCATGGGATCTTTTATCTGGCCCCAGCTCGGCAGAAGGTACTTTGTTTCATCTGAAGGCTGCTCTATGCTGGGCTGTCCTGCAAGCCCGGGCTCCGTGGGGCTGTGTTAACCCGTGGGCTCCTGGCTGGGCTCTCAGCTCTCCCCCACAGCTGTTTGCCTCACTGCCAGGCTCCTGGAGAGATTTACTGCCTCGTCAGGCAAGTTATTCCCACAGCAGGAGAGGAGAAGGGGAAGTGTCAGATACTACCTCTGCTCTCACCTTTCACCTCCTCTCTGGAATTGGGTCACACTTGTGAGTATCCCCAAACCTGTAAAAGCTGCAGTCCTACTGCCTGGTTAGTGCACAGACCTTGAGAAAGGGCCCTCCAGCCCACTTCATCTGCCTCAGGCACAGCTCCTGGCCTGCCAGCCTCCAGGTGAGGGTAAGACACACACCCCTGGGGCAGGAACACACCCAGGCTGCTGTGAAGAGACACTCACTGCTGAGCACTGCCCCTGTGCTACACTGTGGCACCACACTGTCCTCTGGGCTGGGCACCTGCAACCCACATCAATGGTCTTAATAAAGCTGCAATCTGCCAGATCGATCCTGCTAAGGAAGCAGCAGATGTACGAGCTAAAGACCTGCAGCTTTCTTGTCTTCAACAGTACAGAGAGCGAACTCAGCGGAGGATAATCCTCTCCACCTTTACTGCCAGCTCAGTTCCCATAAGTTCCATAACCTGTTTCAGGCCTGACCCTAGAGGGAAGCATCCCTTGCACAGCCTTTACTGCCTTCCCAACTGTGGCACAGCAGAGCTGGATATGCTGTACAGAAATCAGGAGATGGATCAGGAGCCTGCAGATATCCACTCTCTAACCCACCTCTCCACACTCAGTCTGTGCCCTGGGCAGGCACATGGCAGCGACAGCTGAGTTTTTGCCCCAATAGTCTGTTTGAACCTTGGCTCTGAGCGGAGTCCCTGCTACGATTTATTGCTGGGAGTGGAGCAGCAGCTGCAGGTCACCACCTGAGCTGACTCCCCAGCTATTGTCTGCTGAGGCTGGCTTTAACCTCCACATCTCTGCCAAATCCAGCTGCTTGGAAGCTTGGCTTCAGTCACAGAGTGCTGCTTGGCAGAAGCAACAGGTGTCCAGGAGAGAGGGACTATAAAGTTATTAAAAGCAATACAATTATTTCTCACTGTTATAAAGGTTCAAAAGCCAGTCCTACCCATGGAATTTAAAATGTAGCCTGATTGCCTTGATTTACATTAGGAGAGGGGGTGGACCAGCAAATAGCAGAGCTATGCCTCTACAAGCAACCCCATTGAGCTGTATTGAGATGTGCCACAACATGTGCAACCTTATTTAAACATGACACTGGTTTTCAGCTAAAAGAACCCCAGTGCAACAGGCTGGCTGGTGTCAGGCAGGGGATCAGGGTCTGACAGCTCTGCCAAGAGGACTGAGGAATCTGCCATGGTCAGGGAAAGCACCAGGAGAACTGGAAGAGGAGAAAAGGAGATGTACCAGCCAGACAGCAGTGGGGAGAGAACAGCAGGATGCCAGAGGATGACAAAGAACTCCGGGACAACGCTTAAAACTTTAACCACAAACTTTAACCCAACTGGTTTCTGCTTTAAGCCCATCTTGCAACAGCCGCATACCTCAGCACCACTCCTGAGAGATCCCTTTATTCCCACACACAGCCCAGTAGCCACTACTTGGCCATTAGCTTTGAGACATCCATCCTTACTGTCCCCAGGCAGCACACGATAAGCAAGGATAGTCTGGACATCTTGACTCTTGTCATAGGACACAGGCCATGCTCTTCTAATAAAACTCAAAACTTAACATGTCTCAACAACATTGTCATATTTAAATAATTAATAACAAACATTTGTAATAATGTTTTCACACCCTACTGTTGTGCAGAGAGAACTGTCGATGACTTTTGGCTGAGAATGTACTTAAAAGAAACTGTCACAAGGTTGCCACAGGTCCCCCAGCAGAGGCACAGAAGTATCAGGTTTCTAGCAGAGGCCCAAGGGCTGTTCACCCAAATGTCCCATTACCGATCCAGCATTATGGGACAAACTATGAATTTCCTGTACTTATTCATCACACGATACTTAAATTCAAGTCTCATGCAGCTCTTCATCTCCACCAGTGATAAGGGAACTAAAGCAGAGTTCAGCCAAGCCAGGAGGAAGCCCAAAGAGGCTTCCAAGTTCAGACCTAGGCACTGGTCCCACCTGGAGCAGGAAGGCAGAGCAGTCCTGGAGAATCACAGTAACTCCATCCACCTCAGTTAAAACCTTTCCTCAGAGCCGGTGCCTCCGCGCCCTGTGTGACCCTCCCCTCGGAGGCAGGACAAAAGTGTTGAGCACTCTCTTTGTTAAGCCCGGCACCGCGGACTCGTGTGGATACAGATCAATTTTCAGGAGAAAGGCCTCCATGGGGATCAATGGTCCTTATTGCTGTGAAGTCAAGCCAGAGATAATTGACACTGAATAGAACAGCTCAGTCCCCGAGCCGAGGGGCTGCCCGGCTGGCTCTCAGTTGTGCTGCTCAAACTGAGCTGCTGTGATCACAGTTTGCAATTCCCCCACAGGCAGTGGCTTTTCTGAAGCTTAATGGCATGTAGTATCCTGTCCAGTGCAGAGTAAACCCTGAGCTTACTGAGAAAGAGACAATAATTTCCTCTTGAAGCAACTTCTCCCTCAAAAATCTTTCATGTTTTCCTGTAGAAATTTTAGCATCAAACACAGCATTTTTTTACTTTAACACACTTCAGCATAAACTATGAAGTGAAAAAAGGCAGCAAGGTGGAATAAATGCTAAATTCCCCATTTCACATGGTTTTCACCATGTGTTTTCTAGTTGACGGCGTCCCAGAAATCCAGAACCAGCAAACTCAATCTCAAAAAATCCAAGTTATTAAAGTTTAATAAATTCATTGAGAACATTACTGTTCTGTCTCAATTTGAAGCCAAAATACTTCATTAAATAACTCAATTCTCCCAACTTTGCAAAAGATGTTTTCAGGTGCTCTTCTTCTGCCTTTAAACTAGAAGTTGTTTATTACACCCGATCTTACTCAGACTGGTTAGTCAGGTCCTATAGTTCCTTTTTGGCAAACTTTCGTCTGATATATTAAAAAACTCACATTGTCCCCTATTATGTGAAATAAGAAATCCCACACAGAACTTTCAGGTTGAGTGGAATGGTTTGATGAAGGTAATTCCTAATTCCTCCTTACCTCTTGAGAATATTTGCAAGTCCCTCCTGTCCTTTTGCACAGAGCTGTGTGTACCGATCTCCTCTGACTGTCCTTTCTCAGGAAGCAAACCCTTTTCTAGGTGCAATACATCCTTGTAGCAGTAACCACTTATCTCCACTTAAAAGCTCTCCCAAGCGTACCATACTATTTGGTATTTGTACTGCTCTGCTCACAGAGATTAACCCATTGAAACTCATTATGTTTGAATTCACAGTACCGGAGGAATGCATAAGTAATCATTGACTGGGTGAAGAGTCAAGAACCCACACCTTTTGAAATGCATATTTTAGCATTCACGAAGGTTGTGTATCACCAGCAGAATCATTCTGTGTTCCCCGGGGGTTCGGTTGCTATGTGGTAAAAATGTTTTTCCTCACCTGGTTGTTAGCTCTGAAGTTCTGATTAAGGAACTGAGCAGATAAAATGACCTCAAGATGCACCAGGAAAGGTTTAGATTGTATACTAGGAAAAATTGCTTCCCTGAAAAGGTGGTCAGGCATTGGAACAGGCTGCCCTGGAAAACGGTGGAGTCACCATTGCTGGGGATATTTAAAAGACCTGTGAGACTGGGTCAGTGGTTGGATTCAGTGATCTCAAAGGTCTTTTCCAACCTAAATCATTCTATGATTCTAAATATGTGGTCATCTTAAGCAGAAGTGCTTTCATCTCCACATGGTCGTGTATCCTCACACCACTGTCGCCTAACCAACCGACACCCCTGTGGTTCACAAAGAGACAGGATCTTAAGTGTGTCTGTACCTTCAGCTTAAACCTTCAGACACCCTGACAGATTTCGCTGGGATTACACTTTGTGGGAATAACCTGCCTGCCAAGTGTGAGGAACTGCCAGCAACAGCCTGGGCACCTGATCAGCTCACACACCAGTTCTTCAGCAATCCCAGTGACACTCTACCTTAAACTGCCATTAGGTTTAGTCCAGATTAATACTCCAGCTGCAATGAGAAGACGCAATGCCTGTTCTGCCATGCCTGCTCCTACAGGAGCACCCTCTGGCACCGAGGATGGCAGAGCAGGAAGGCAGGGATGAAGAAACCTGCCCTCCATCACTAAACCTAACTGAGGCTTTTAAGCAACAATCCCACATGTCTGTTTGTGCTAAGTCCAGGAGCACAGGTGTAGCTCAAAGGTTGCAGCTCACCTGCTGTTGAACAGTGCAGTGCAAACCCCAGCAGCTGTCTTTGGACTCTACAGACAGCCACCAAAGCTTCTGCCACTGCTGCTGTCCATGGTTTGCTGGAAACCTCAGGACCCCTCTGAACACGAGTTGAATGCCCATCCAGAATGCAGCACAGCAAATCACAGCTTGCCTGAAACTTGGGCACAGCAAGGATTCAAGCCCACATGTCCAAAGCCTGACTTCAGCCAGAAGGCATTCTGCAAAACCAGGGTGAAGCAAAGTCTGCCTGGATGCCAGTCAGCACCATTAGATGCCATCTTTGGACCTAGGAGGATCAGTCAAGTGGCTAATGTCTCAATGCCAAACCCATCCAGTCCCTCTGCCCCACTCCAACCTTTGATACGCTGGATCCCCACTTGCTCCAGAAGGATGGTAGCTGTACTACACTGACTCATTAACAAAGTTTGGCCTCGTTCCAAGATAAAAGCTTTTTGAGTCATATTTCCTCTCCTTAAAAATACAACACCTTTTCTGCAGTAGCCACAAAATGGAGTTCTGTTTAACATTTGCATTTGGAAAAAAATCAGTATTATAAAACATGAGCATTCCACCCTTGAGATATTCAGAAGGGACCTAGCATGTGCCCATCCTTCAAAGAGGACTTTCAAATACCCCTTTCAAGACATTGCATCAAGAGGGCAGGCCCCTTCAGTAATATTGCTATTATTCAAGAGATCTGGAGGAAAATCAGAAGCTTTCCAGAAAGGAGGTACTGGCACAGAAAATATTCTGCAGGCTCAGAAGGATTTGATGTACCTGCTTTTTTCTACTGGCCAGTCTGAAGTACACACACAGAGTCCAGGCCACATTCAGCTAATAACACATACCACTCTCACTGTATCTAAATTTTTGATGTGAGACCCACAGTGCTCCACAGAAATGATTGTGACAGGAGCTGTGGCAAAACAACTGTCCTCTAGAAAAGCAGACAGCGTGAAAAGATAGCTGGTCTGTG